GGGGGGGGGACGGGGGACGGGGACACACAGAAAGTTGTACATGGAAGCCATAGGCTTTAACCAGATCTTGGTTTTAGTTGCAAAAAGAAGACTTTGAAGATGATTCTCATGTCTTTCGAAGACCAGTGAATGACATAACATCTCAGCTGGATATTAATTTTGGGAGTCTTCCTCGCCCTGGCCGTGGATCAAGAGGAGCACGAGGTGGTCGTGGTCGTGGCAGACGAGTTGAGGAGACAGGACCTCAACCAGAAGTAGTGGTAATGGTTTTTATGGGTTTTGTTGTTGTTTGCTTAGAGATTTTTTTTTTTTGGGTTGTTGGGGGGGGTGTGTGTTTGTGTGTCCCACCCCCTTTTGTGAGGAGTTATTGATTTCTGTAGTGACAGCCTTGTTTCTAATTCCTGCCGCATAGTATGTTGGCCTGATTATTTTGAGTTCCTGACCCATATCATGTTACTTAAAATTAAATACTAGTTCAGGCTCACAACTCTTAACAGAAAAATTTCAAAAGGTCTGATTACTAGTTGCTGTAATGGTAACTAGAGGAAAGGATGCAATGAAGGTTTGTTTCTGCAGTGAGTTTTGATGTAAATTGGGAAGTAATTAAAATGACTAAAGGCTTATATCCCTTACAAAAAAATTCAGTATAATACAGTAATAGTACTTTGATTACTGAGCGCGAGATAAGTAAATCTGGGATCCTACAAATGAAGATAGAGTCCTACAGCATCCTACAGAATGATACAAGTGTTCAATATAACCATTTTAAAAAAAACTTCCAGTGACCTTTTTATCTTAAAAAAAAAAAAGGCATTTGCGCACTGAAAAATGACATTTTGTTCTTCATACTAACTGAAGGTCTCAGTTTACTTCTGTCTAGTATGAATAAAATACTTTAAGGTTGGGAACTTAAAGAATGATATGGAAGTGGTTTGTTGCATTTGTTTCATCTGAATGAAAAAGGCTCTTTATAGTAACAGCATAGAGTTTAAAACTACAATATGTGCAGTAGACTTAGAATGTAAAAAGATAATAATGCTGCTTCTAAAAAATGACAGTATTTTGGGTGAGATTGCTTTACTTTTTTTTCTTTACTTCAGTGCTGCAGAATTTGTGATCTTCTGGTCCTCCCCAGGCAGTAGATCAGCATTATAAATACGTTCACACTGAAGAAATTACAGTAGTTATAACTTCTGAGATAAATGCTTAGCTTTTCTGTGATAGTGATGGATACAAAGCATTTAACTTGAATAGAAGAATGAACCCTTTTCAGGGTAAAGTACATCTACATAGCTGTCAGATGCTTTTGAAATGCATTCATTTTTATAAAGCATCCTTTCTTACTTTATAGGTGCAGCTTGTTGCTCCAAATCCTGATGATCCTGAGGATTTTCCAGCTTTAGCTTGAAGAACCATTATGAATGGTGGTATCTCAAAGTAGCTTCGGTGTAGCTGTGAAGAGACCAGTTTTATGCTGGTGTGGATAAAGAAAGTCTGTTTCTGCTGGAAAAGCTGTTTGGGTGTTTGGTGTGGAATGATTGCAGCCCTCTGCTAATGGAGTTGTGTTCTGGAGATACCGGTGGACTGGGATCCTGTCACAGGTTCCAGTGTCTGCCTCCATTTGTGAAAACTGTGTGAAGGCTTACAGTACTTCACTACAAGGCTTCAAATGAAGTTCAAGAGTACAGTGTTTAAAAATGTGTATATAGAGATTATATCAAGTTCTCCATGACACCATGGTGAATTGTAAACTGTACAACATGGTCCGCAACTGGGACTCTATTTCACTGTACATTTGAAAGCTGCTTTCCCTGTTTCTTTGAACGAAGTATATATTTCACACAGTCACAAGTTGCAGTTCTTCAGAGTTTGGCAAATAAAGGAAAGTGCTCATTGGTTTGGGTTTGAGATATTATTTTCACAAGTCAGAGTAGCAGGCTGAAGCTCTTGCTATTTGGATGTAGTCTGGGGAAAAAAAAAAACAAATCTAAACAGCAGACCTTACTCACCCAAAACAGTGAACATCTCTCTAAACAGAAGTGATCTTTAAAATTAAGGCAGCGCAGGTGCTTTTAATTGATAGCTAACTGTAAGTCTTGTTTCAGTAACAAGCGATAATCTGCAACTACTTTGAAGATGTTGAAGGTGCAGTAAAGTAAGAATTTTGAGCTAAAGACAGAACTAAACTGTTAAGGAAGCTTTTAATTTTAGCAGGAGCGACTACAAACTAAAATGTTTCATGCCTTATCAAGAATTTTGTGTGACATTGGAGATTAGGTGGGATGTCCTTTCCTTGCAGCTTTAATATACTTCCTCACTTGAGCCAGATACCCTAACTTGTTCCCTGTCAAAGGGGACACTCAGAGCCGTTCTCGGGGATCTGAGAGAAACAAGGAAGTGGTGCCAGAAGTGGTGGGGGAAAGAAATGAGAGTACAACCACACTGGACACTTTGGAAGTAACTGTCAGCCTCAAAGGAGTCTTCAAATGCCTGCTCAACTTGAACTCATTCTTTCAGCTTACTAGGAAAGCAGATGAATATAAACCTTTCTTTTTTCCTTGTTCTCTGCCTCACTTTGTTTTGTATCACTTCTAAGCAGTCTCCTTTGAGAGCAAATAGTGGATGAGACTTGAAGAAAAAAAACTGTTTTGCTTTGGAGTAAGCTCTAAGAGTATTCAGAAACTTAAAGTAACTCTTGTCTCAGTGGTAAGGCTTTACGCAAGTAGGATATAATCGTCCTAGAAAGACTACTGACTCTTTTCTATATGCTCCAAACAGATGGTCTGCAAAGTAGTGCTGCCCAAAGGACTTTTCTTACATTGTTAAATTATTTATATGACGGTTTGCTATAAAATGAGATTTCGGATTCCACAAGGAGCTCATTTTAGTGGCAAAGAGATACTCTGACAACCTGTAGTAGAAAGAATGTGCAAAAGCAAATGAAGTGCTGGTGTTAGAGGAACCCATGCTGCTGCTTTCTGAGTTACTGAACTGGATGAAATAACGTAAATGACTCTTTCACCTTGTAGGAGCAAGCTACTACCTGAAATCACTGCTGCTGCTCTTTTAATAGGTGTTCGGGTGTTTCTGCCAAAAATGGCAATTTCATGATTGTGGAACAGAAGTGATTTTGTCTATGGGGGTCTTGCAATTTTTTTTGCTTGTTCCTCTGTTCTGGTTCCCCTTATCCCAGTGGACAGGGAAGAATGTGTCTGAAATCTTACATATTTTTTTTGCTTGCAGGGGTGATATGTATAGGTGTGGAGAGCTTCTTTGCAAGGCTCACCTCTATTTTCTGTCCTGTTTTGAAGGTGTAGTGTCTTCTTTTACTAACACCTCTTTTTGCTAAGGAAAGTAGTGAAATACTTAAAAGCAACCCTTGCTTTTTCTACTAAAAACTTGAAACCTTCTTATGCTACTGGGCTGAATCTTGTGTAATGCAGTTGGTTCAGTTCTGACTGTTCTCTGGGAAGACTGAAAGGATTGTTTTATTTTTGAGTCTAGTTCCTGCTGCTGCAAAGTTACTGTTTACTCCTCTAACTTTGGTCTGATTTTCAAAACAGAATGACAAATAGGTTCTTTGGGGAATGCTTTAAACGGCTTGTCAAAGTATATGTCTACGATCAGCACTTGGTCAGCAGGTTGTTTAAAAACTTGTGGTTTAAAAAAAAAGTGGGCTGGTTTTAAGACTGTTTAATAAAAAACCCCAACCAAAACCAACACCCACATACACACACAACCCACCCAACCCAAAACTTTTGAGTATGAGGTTTAGTGTAGTTGGTTACTGCTCCTTAAATCAAAAGTGTCTTAGAGCAGCTAGGTGTGACAATTTTCTTTTTCAGTCTGTCAGGCTTGAATATGGCTTAAGAGTTTCTCTAGTTGATAGTATCTAAGTATAGAGAAGACATGATTAATTGTAAGTGCTGACAGTGATCCGATTCCTTTGCCTAGCTGTGAAAAGAGAACTTACTAAATCTCAGTCACCTGTCATATTTATGGTACCAAAATAGCTGTATCTGTTAAGCATGTCTGCTGCGAACAGTCACTCCTGGTTTAGCTTTACTCCTTCATGTAAAGCAAATGGTAGCAGGTGTAAATATATACACAAACACTAGCAAAACATGGCATGCATCTTGGGAAGAGATTAGATCGTGTTGCAGATCTTAGTCATGTTACTCTTTAATGCACTACTACCAGGTACTCTGCTGTTAGGATCACTGTGGTGAGTGGCTTAGGAAAAACTACTGCATTTCAGCTTTAATCTAAAACTCAGTGTAAATCACAGTAAGATTGCAAAGAAAGGAATTCACCTCTCTCCACAACTGTCATTTATGTATGATAGTGTTGATACTGTGTAGTCCACTTGAATCACATGTAGTGCCCCGATACAGGATTGGCAGGAGTATATTACTATGAAAGTGCCTTTAAAGGAAAGAGGAGAGGAATGTCTGTGCTTAACATGAGTAGTAAAGAATAACTAAAAAGACTCAGAAGTAAAAAGCCCTGGTAAAAAGCTTTAGTTGATAAATAGGAATATTAGGCAATTGAGCCCATGGGACATGAGCTTTCAGCTCTGGTTGCATTTGTTCATGTGAAAACAGGGCTGGCGGTATGCACGGTCTTTGGGCCCAGAACCAAAATCTGTAGCCCTAGTACACCTATGTCATTAAGATTATTCTTACATCATATTCACGCCATCTCTTTTTCCCTTCAGAGCTGTCGCAGGCACGTTTGCACATACACACACATCCACATAAAAAATATATATATTCACACACAGATATATGCAGTGTTGAAAGTAATGTAACACTGACTCATTGTCACTGGATCAACAATTGAATGTGGAACATGGCCATCTTTGCAGAAAAAGTCCATTTCGGTCACTGAATAACAGGCATGGCATTAGAGCTTTTCTCTTTCACTAACATGCTGGGCAAGTACTGAACTGTTTGTGCTTGGAGGGGGGGAAAACCTTCGGTCTTTGGAAGAAGTAACAACTGTTACACTTTGGCTCTATTACTTAGAATTTAATGTGAAATACATTAAATCTTCAGCTGGGTTTTATTTGTCCGCAAACAAATGCGGTTTTGAAGATGTGGTGCAACAAATGTTGCAGATAGCTGCGTCTTCAGAGCAGCTTTAGCTATTGCATCACACTTAACGGGAGCATTATGTTTGAGACAAACTGCCGCTTAATGAGTTGAATAAAGTTTTTGCTCTCCCTGTTTGGGTAGCCAGTGTGACTATCCATATTCCGTGTTCTGTTGTCTGTACAATGTTTTACAGCTAGTTAACAGGACTCGGTAAGCTGCTGTCTGCGTTTAGCAATGGTAGCTCCTCTGTCTAGGTCTGTACAGTGGTTTCTATTTGAATGAAAGATACTGAGTTTTGCATAATGTAATTGAATTAGCAGGGTGGCTTTGCTAAAAGGTAAAAATACCAGCAACAAGGTACAGATTTAGTCTCTTCTGGCACAAGAAAAAATAAGTTGACATACTATAATACAGGAATTCTGTGCTTGTTAGTGGCTTGATTATATTTCTGTTACTTACGGATTGAATGTTGTTTTCAGAGGTTTTCCTGGCTCTAGCAAAGGCTCTGGACCTTGGTAGCTATTGTGGGAAAAGTAAAACCTAGTAACCTTTTCACTTCAGTGGAAGCTTCATTGAAAGAAGACCATGGGCTGGAAAAGGTCTGATCAGTGGGAGGAAGGGAAGGAACCCTTCGAATAAGGGGGAAGAAAACCCAACAAACCACCATTAAATAATAGTTCACTTAAAAATAGAGATGATGTTGGTGTGGAAGGGATGGACAAAAAGCGCCTAGAAGCATGACACCAGGACAAATGTCACCTGCTGTGAGTACCTAGTAGAGATTCAGTCCTAGGAGCATGACATTTTGGGAAGAACAGTGAAAGATGAATCTGGTAATGGCAGAACTCAACCTTGGGAAGAAACACAAGTGGGTCTAGAGAGAAACGTGTGTTTGAAGGAGGGGTAATGAGGAGGCTGAGCCCTTCCACTGAGTAGAATACCAAGGAACTGCCCTGCCATCTTAAGAAAATAGCATCAAAGCACTGATGGAGGTAAGTGCAAGCTCACAATGGTGAGAATTGGTCTGCTTCAGCATTTGCATAGTGTCTGTCTTCCCGCTCTCGGCAGCCATCACTTTGGATTTTCCTGCATTAACAGTAGTTACTGCCAAGGGTAACCTCCTGTCTGCACCCCTGTCCTGTCAGGGCACAAGGAGTTTGGGATTTACTGCTTCGTCCTGTTTGTGGCGTAACTGGTCTGCAGCAACTGGCATACTTGGAAGAGCTGGGAGTCGGAGGTGCAAGTGACACAGAAGTGCTTTGCATCTGCTGCTATGCAGCAGGGCCACTGCATGCCGGGCTGAGGGATGAACGACAGCAGCTGCTGCTTGGGCTCTCTGGTTTTGCCACAGATTCTTCAGCAGCCTTGTGGACTGGGACAGAGCTTGATAGGGAGGACACGGACCAGGAGCGGAGCTGCTTGCAGCATTTCTAGGTGCCCTCCCCAGTCCCCCTTGTCGCAGTCCAACACTCGGACCAGGTTCTTGGAGGTACCCTGTGGATGGAGGGTGTCATGCTTAATACCAAAATTACTTGAAGATGGTTGATGTCACACGGCATTTCTGATTTAAGGTGAAACAAAGTATACTGAAAACACAACACAAAGGTAAGTTACACTTTGCAAAATACAGCAATTGCAATACACAGTTCAGTCACAATAGTGGTGTGATTCCCATTACTGGTCCCTATGGTATCCTTGCTGTCACCACGCAGGGTGTCCCCAGTCGCTGGGAAGGAACAGGAGGGTTGGTGCCAGCTCAAGCCAGCTGCTCTCTTCGAAATTCTTCTGGCAGTTGTCTGGGGCTTGTACTCCATGTATTCACTCTCCCCATGCTGGTCCGGCCAGCTCAGGGACACATTCGCTCTCTTTAAAGAACTTGGGGAGAAACATTTACACCACCAGTTGATCCACTCAACTGTTGGTAGCCGTTTACCTAAAACAAAGTCCACCCTTCGGTCCCATTTGTGTTGAGATAAAGTCGTCTTTGCAACAGTTGTGGTCCATCACACCCTGCATCATTCCCTGAGCTTCACAGGCACATCACCCTTGCCCATCTCCTCTCAGACTTACTCCATTTTAGGGGCTTACTGGTGAGGAACACACCTGTGTGAAACCAACCCCAAAAACACAAATGCAAGAAAAAGCAAATCTCTCTCCCTCAACAAACTCCCTGTGAATTAGGCTTTTAAAGCATGCAGTTTCTCTTTAACACCAGCCTTGAATATTTCTAAACAGCACATCCATTTTGCTACAGTATATTTTTATCTACCACATAGGCTGTATAGAAACTGTAATGCAAAGAAGACTAAATAGAGCCAAATCGAAGTTATTCAGAAATACTGTAAACAGATTATTCTTGCAGTGCGCCAACTTGTCAATGGATTTGATCTGGGCCACTGTTGAGTTGTTCTGTGTAGGATTTTTTAGTCCTCCACCCTCCCCTGCCCAGTGCCAGTACCCCTTACATCGCTAGTGATACGATGGGGCTTAACTGTGTTTCTCCCTGGGCACCACATGCATAAACCCGTTTTCCCAGGCAAAACCCATCATTCAGTCTTCAGCAGACAAATAGTTTGTCAGGAAAAGGTGGTTTAAACATTCATGTAAGTTCAGAAAAGATCACCTTGCAACAGATGAACACAGATTGTCCAGCCATAAAGCTGTATCTTTTGAGCAAGCGAAAGTTTACTTCCTTGTCAAACAGGCTCTGCTTGGGGTGTGCAAATTTTGCATTTTCTAATGCAGGTAAGGTAAGGGTGATCAGAAGTATTCGAGTTGGTCAATATTTCTTGCTGTTGTGTTTGGATTGTTTTTTTTAAAAGACTAAACTATACCGCCATCAACCCTAATGCAAAAAAGAAGTGTTCCCGAAAATTTAGTTTTTACATTTGAGAAACCTTCACTTTCATGGTAAGAATCAAAGTATATAGTATTTAATATGATGCCTGTTTCCAAAAATGAGTATTATATGATCACAGAGGAAGGAAACAAATTAACAAGAACTCCAGCTGTGTTTTTTACTGGGTAACAGTATCCCAACAATTCAAATACAATTACTATTGTCCAAAGTGAGTCCCCTGAAATGTAGAGCCAGAAGTTCTCTATTTTTGAAATCAGAAAAGTATATGTTTTAAGGATTTGTGCTTTACTTGAAGTTTTTCAGGCAGCTGAGATTACTGCATTATTTTTCAGAGCAAATATGAACCAGTGTGGTACAGATATGATGAATTTTATTACAATGCTGGAAATAAAAGTGAGAAAACAAACTTGTGATTATTATTTTTAATTTTACACAATTCATGTTTACAATTCTTACTATTCAATATTTTGTATAAAATCAAATACAATATGCAGTATTTTCAAATGAGACACAAATGCATATTGAACTACTTAATATTACAAGATAATATGAAGCTTTATCTTAAAAATACCTTCAGCAAAATAAACTCCCATTCTGTCAATCCAAGTTAAAAAAATATGATTAGAAATATACAATTTAAAAATAATCAGGATGAACAGTACTGATTAGTCAAGAAATTTTAGATCTTGATAGTCTGTACATGAGTTTACGCAAGACAAACAGTCTGCAAACCATTAATATAAAAACTGCAGTGCAACAAACTGGTGAACATCACATTTTTCTTTTTTTTTTTTTTCCCCATTTTAACGCATGAGTCTCCACAAATCTTATTTTTTTGTTTTAAATCAGCAGCACTTCCTCTGTTGTCATACTGAGGCAAAAAGACAAGGTCTGGGTTAACATCTGAATTAAGTTATTGATGCTGTAATGGAAGCCAGCAATTTGACCCAAGATACTACAGCTTTTGAGCATGTTGCATACCTTTAAATAAGAGATCAAGGGAGAATCCATCTGTCACGTGTTTGAAAGAGGGGAAAGAATTTCTAAGGAAAAACTCCTAATTGACGACAGCAGAAGTAACTTCCTTCAGCTGCTCTGTGGTACAATGGTGATGCAGCTGCCACCACACATTCCATTTTGGCACATAATACTTCAGAATTCCAAAAAGATTTAGAAACCAAGGACTCCCTCACCCAGGCCCTCTCTTCATTCTTGTACTTAAGACAGCTTTGGTATGGTATAATAACAATGCTAGACAAAGTACTAAAATTCAGAAGAACAAACTAAGCAATACAATTAGATGGGACACAATGAGGTAATGAGTTAATTTTCCATATAAGGCTGTTTGGAGAGTTAAAACGTAAAATCCCTTTGACATTTATGTGTTTCTCACTACAATAATGGGTGGTGGAAGGGGTATCCTGAAACACATTCATGCCAAACATGCAGTTTTGGTTTAGCTAGAGTTGCTATTGTGTGTGTTTGTGCACTTGTTTTATGCAAATTTAGTTCTGATGAACCTGAAAGTGCTAATGGCTCTGCTGGTTACTTTGAAAAAGGCAAATTCCAATTTGGAATTTGAAAGGGGTGTGAAATAGAGTGACTATTTTTAGGTTAAAAACAAGACGCTAAAAGAGGAAGCTCAGCTGAGAGAAGGGCAAAGCCAAACACAATAAATATTACTGAATCTTTCTTGTTTTGACTCTCACCCTCTCACGTCACTAGTTTCATCCCTTCTGCCTTCCAAGATAAGAATTTTCTTCAAAAATAAACACAGATTCATATTTGCACAATATACCTACTATTGTGCTTACCTGGTACTTCAGCTTTTGGGCAAGTGGCTTACTTTAAAATTTGTTTTTTTTTTTTTTGTTTTTAATCACTGTATCAGGGTGAATTCTGTCCCTCTCTTTTAGGTGCTTTTTCACCTAGAAGAAAATGGTGGTGAGGGTGAAGATTAAGAGGAAAACAAAAAATATTTGGGGTCTGAGCCTCAATGGTCCTTTATTCTGCACCATACAAGCCTCTTCTGTTTTCTTTGTATTCATATTTGCAAATTTTGACCATCCAAATTCACAGATGCTACCTGTAAGCTTACTTACACTTCACATTCTGCTTCCCCTCCAACTCATGATGCTTTTGCCACAGAATGTTTTCAAGCCAGTATGTGGCTATTCATATTGGCACTCAAAAATCATCAGCCTAACAGAAAGCTTAATTTTAATTTAAAAGAATGTAGATTGAAACTAGTCACTGAACCTACCCGTTTACATTCATAAAAAGAAAATTCTCCCCCCTTGCAGAGGTAATCTGTATCTTTAAAAACTTCAGTTATTCCATCGCTAACATTTCAGATCTCTCCATTTGTTCTACTTCCTACTGTAAGAGTCACTAAATCAACAGATAACCGTATCATATTTAAGGCTATGTGGTAACAGTCCTCATCTGAGGGATATGCAGCTATAAACTTCAGTTGGCAGACAAGGGTACATCACTGCAAAACCAGCTTTGAGATTTCATAATGTGAGAAGTGGTAGGGAAAAAACGCTGCCAGTGTTTGAAAACAGTCTTGTAGTGGATGAAAATTTCAGTCTCAGACAGATTCCTCTAAAAATTACACTGCTTTTTACAGAGGTAAGCTGTAGTTTTTAAAGTGTTAATTAGATGTTAAAAACTATACCTGCCCCCGAGTTCCACTACCGATCTCAGTTGTACAGCAAGCTTAACTTCCCTTTTTTGTGTGCTGCACGCATTAAGTGTCTCAAAGCTAAAAAACAGCGACATCCACATGTTATCAAGTGTACCAATAAAATCCGGGAAAAATTCTTACCTTTTAGATATGGTAATCTAAAGTTTCTCCTAAAAGACTTGAAGATAGGAAAAGAAACAGTAATGACATTTCAGTATGACAGCACTGCTTCAAATGGTAATCTGTTTTTCCTCCCCCTTAAAATCATACCAGATTTAAAGCAATTACAACTAGTTAAAAGAGCCATTGGTTGTGAAAACTAAAAATCTATTACTATTAAAAACAAGTTAATTGCTTATAGTTAGTTTTTTCAAAATAAACAAACCACACAACCTTTGAAAATAAAGCACTCTTTGGTGGACAATAGTTACTTTGTGTACTCAATACTGCGGCTTCATAAAAAACTTCATACAAAATAAGAAAGAATAGCCAATTAACACAGGAGAGTACCAATACTATAAGAAAAAAGCTTTTGTGGTTGATTTTCAGTCTCAAGTGGAGACTTGAGCCCAGTCTGAACAGACAACACAGATTTATATATTTAAAAGCTCCCACCATCTTTTCATTTCTGGTGGTCAGCAGCTAAGTGATTGCCATCACAATTTATACACATGCATCATACATACTAGCAAGCCCTCTTTATAATAGAGAGCTTAAGTATTTACACCTGAGTCTAAATGTACACAGATTTTGTTGGTTTCGTTTGAGGAAGTGTTAGCACATTAGGAAAGTCTCTACCAAGCATGTTGACAGTTCATTTTATTCTACAAGTACGGAAGAGATACTTCTGTTTCACTTTTGCTGAAAAATGGAGCCAGAGTAATCTTCCTTGAATTGCATCAAGTCACCTCTTGTCATATCCCCTTTGTTCCTCAATATCCTCTTCAACACTGGTTGCTTATATTTGAAATTTAACGCAATACTGTTCTAGTCCTTGGGACGGACTGGCTGCTGAAATAAAACATATTTGAGGGAAAAAAGTTAAATATGTACTCAATATGCATTTCAAGCAAACATTTCTGGCAAGGTAAAATGAGCAAATGATACTTCAAAGAAAGAAACAGAAGATAAAAGTCACTGCATTTAAGAACGCAGCAATATTGTTTGTAAAGAAAGCACGGACTGGTCTGATCACAGACAACACGAAGAAAGGTTCTGTTCCATACAGAAAAGCAACAGAGGATTCAAAGTACCATAATTTCATTAAGTGCATTTGCTGTAAAACATTCCTTTTCTTTCTCTCCCTCTGAGGTATCGGACTGTAGGAAAAGTAGAAAGAATAGTAAAGAACCATTAATTTTTTTAAAGCTAGATTTAGATTACATTAGACAAGCTCTGAGACGCTGCAGGTAGCTTTCAGTGTTTGAACAAGGGTGCAGAAGGCTTCTTTACAATTCCCAGCAATGCAAAAGCATATGAGATTTTTAAAGTGTATTCCTCTTTGTTAGTTTTTGTGATAAACCTCTCTGGTTAAAAGAAGTAAAGGAATCTATACAATACAGTTTTCATACTTTTTCCCCCATACTCCCGATTATTTTTTTGTAATAACTTGACCTGCAGTCCCTCTGCCTACCAAAACTCCTTCACCACTCAAGATTTCATTTCTAATCAACTACTTACTACATACATAACCCTAATTCTGTTATGTGTAGTAACATGGAAAAAACTCTTTCATTTGTGTCTTACTATGATTCAGTTGGTTTGTATCTGATGTATGTACCTTGTTAAAATACAAACACGAACTTCTCAGTAATTGGCAAATTTACAAGGAAGACGTCTTAACTGGAGAAACAAGGGCATCCACAGAAAAAGACTGTGGATAACGCTCTAGTAATGAGATTTCTTGCAGTTCAACAACAGTGTTATTTCAATCACAAGATACAATGTCTATGTCCACCAGTACTGGTCTTTCATAGATGGCAGCCAACATCTAGAGGTGTTCCACAAAGGAAATGCAGTGAATGTTACGAATAGGATAGAAATTCCCTAAATTCTCTTTGCAAAGCCAGAATAGAGTGGTTTAGCTGTAAATGGCTGTTCTAGCTGAAAAATCATTCTGGGGGCATTCTATGATAGTGTCTCCAGCAGTCTGAAGGATGAAATGGCAAACGAATTGCCCAGCTCTGCGGATTATACTGCGTTAGGATGGGTCGCAAATGTGATTCGTCTACAGTAAGAACTGACTAAAATGACCTAAAGCATCAACAAATGAGATTGATGTAAAAATATTGCAAGATGTTTCCACTGGAACGTATCAGACAAGAAAATGAAAGAATAAGGGTACATAGTAATGTCGGAAGTTCAGAGAAGGCAACAAGGTCTTGACAAAGACAGATGTTGGTTAGGGCATGATCACAATTTTGTAATAATAATTATTCTCCTCTACCCTGCAATTCACTTGATCTGGAATAGGTCAATCAATTTGAGCACTATGAGGTAATGCAAACTGCACAGACTTCAAGAGATTCAAGTAAACTTAAAATGGATGAAAAAACAAAGGGATGTTTAAAAAAAAAAAAAAAAAAGAGTGAGGTTTTGCCAAATGCTATAGGAAAAATAAATGGACAGCTACAAGCTAAACAACAAGGTACTGCATTCTAAGTCCATGAAATTGTACAGTCATACCAAGTCATACAGTACCCTTCAGTGGGACCAGCACCCAATTAAGCCCTCTCAGATGACAAGATAATTAAGAACTCCAGAACTGTGACATAACTATTTATGACAAATCTGATTATTGGATGCAAGCATAAAGTGACTGAAATTCTTTGACCTCAAAAGTTAGAAGAAAAGAAACAGTATATGGAATGAAGTATTTGGGGTAGAAGTTTTAGAAAATCCATTAAAATATGAAGTAGTTCATGAAGTTTGAGATCAACCTGATCCTTGGTCCTCAGAGTCATAAATCTGGCAATACACCTAAAGGATTTCTTTCAAAATAACTGAAATCTTCTATGAACTCTGTTTTAGGGATGTTGTTTCCTCCTAAGGGTAGGTATTCTCATCTCACACAACACAAAGGTAAACTTGGAGGTGTGTTTTCGAGGAACTGAAAATCTGTTCACTTACACATGTGCATGTATACAGCTACCGAGAGTTGCAAGGAGCTTAAAACTGGGAGAGGCACGAAGAATAAAAACAGCAGGCAGAATCCCATCAATCTGTTTGGGCCAAAACTGACATGGTGAAAACGATGCAAAATGGAGGAAAAAAACAACCAACCAAACAGGAAAACCCTGAGAAATACTTCAGTTTTTTAGTAAAACATGCATTTTAGGAAAAAGAGATTATTTTTTAACATCTTGTTATACGAATCAAAACGTAATTCATATAGCCAACTGCTAAAAATTCTCTGACTAGAATTTACTGCAGTCTACTATTAATGACCATTTCTGTTGCCTGATAGAGTGAATTTCTCATAACTTCTGCTACCTTCAAGGTAACAGGATGACGAAGGGGAAAGAAAAGCTGCACAAAACCTTGGAATTTTCAGCAATATTTATAAATCAAGCTACATAACTGCTTTTTATGTTATTTGACACCTTTTACTCTTCCCAACAAAAGTAGGTCTCTTCAGCACCTGACAGACCCATTCAAAAGTTTTTCACTATAAGCATAAGACAAATTCTGGTCAATTTTAACCACCGGAAATTGCTTGGAAATTGTTTTAAGCTACACTCCCAGGCTCATCTTTGATAATGACCTGGAGAACTGCCACAGAGGGGCATGAACACATGTACACACAAAGAAACATAGTAGTAGTGTGGCCATATGCTTCTGGGCCAAAAGGCACTTTCAGTCTTGCATAAATCCATCTGAATTTAAAATTTCATTACGCTTTACTGAACAGGTTCAGTTCAGATTATCAGTCATACTATCAGTACAAAATCTCATAGCAGTATACACATGCATTTTATATACTTCACCTCTCCACTACTACTGCTTTTCAGTCTTCCATCAAATTCCTCTTAGTTTTGACTTCATGTACGGACTAATAATTGACTCCATGCTGTGAACAACTTTTCCACCTCTTACTCCAGGCAGAGGTTTGGTAAAGAAAGGCTTTTTTTTTTGTTACCAAAATCCTTCACCTTCAGTAATTCTGACTCACATTAGGAATTACAATATAAAATTCTCCAAGTTGAAAGACTGAGCAACATAAACAAATGACATAAGGTTTAAGGTTCCAGATATTCTCAGTACTTGACATAAACCATAAAATTGTTTCTCATTTCCCATTGCTAGGAGGAGGAGTTGAACTGTGGCAAAAGCTCCTGTCAGCAATGGATACGCCAGCTCAAAGTATTTGCCTATGGAACAGTTACTGGATCTTTAAAGAGGGTAACTCTCACCTTTTTAAACTGTTTTTTCTTGCAGCAGACCTGGTAGTTCTTTTAGTAATGTCTGTACTGTCAGAAATGCTAGGTTCAGAGGTTTTAGTTTTCTGAACACTGGACTGCAGAATTACTCTGAAAAGAGTAGGAAAAAAGAAAGATTATATAACCTGAAAGTTTCTAGGAAAACACTGAAAAGAGGATATTACAGTTGTAGCAGAGTTAACAAGTATCAGCTGGCTTTTCACAAATCATTCTGAAAAGCAAACTGTTCTGCCTGAAACACATCCTTCTCTTTATAACATACTTGTTATAACTGTAGTAATGCACGTTGGTTTATTAGGAGCATAGCAGTTTGTTTTGTTGTTTGGGGTTTTTTTTTGCTTTCAAAGGATGGATTAAATTAATGGTTTTGAATTTCCTGTTAGGTTTTTGGAAGACAAAAAGCTAAGAAATTGTATTTTAAGTTACTGCAACAAAACAAAACAAAACAAAACAAAAAAGAGAAAATCTGAAGTATGCAACAAAAACATACATTATTTTCCAGATGGACACAGAAAGGAATTCAGCAATAAACCCAAGTAATTCAGTTTGTTTAAATCTCCTGCAATTAACCATGAGTTATTCCCTTCAAATACAGCAGGCTAGGGAAATCATTGCATATGCTGGCATTTTGTGCTTACAGGGAATTACTACACCATACTCAAAACTCAGCTTTACAAGCTCAACCGCTTCTCTGGAAGACACTAGAGCAATATATTGACTATTTCCTAAACAGGCAGATAAATCCTAGAGTTGCTCACATCAGTAACAAAAGAACTCCAGATTGTGAAATGCAAACAACTATTTTTAGCCACCAGCCAACTGGTTCACAGGGAAACCACGTCTTCTGTATTCCTAAATACTTGTAGTGAAATTATGATACTATGGAGACAAAAAGTGACAACTGGTCAATGGAGTCCACAGATACCTATTTAGTGCATCATTTTATACGTCTGTTCCCTAGTCATTCCATCTGTGCAAGTTTCCAATTATAAAACTATGCATCATTTTAGAGATTCAAACTGGTTCACAGGGAAACCACGTCTTCTGTATTCCTAAATACTTGTAGTGAAATTATGATACTATGGAGACAAAAAGTGACAACTGGTCAATGGAGTCCACAGATACCTATTTAGTGCATCATTTTATACGTCTGTTCCCTAGTCATTCCATCTGTGCAAGTTTCCAATTATAAAACTATGCATCATTTTAGAGATTCAGAGCTAAGAGTAACTTAGCTTTTACTGGTTTTTTCCCCTGCTGTTATTAGACTCTAATTTTCAGTGGCTTCACTGAGTCCATCTGTGTCAGCAGATTATATTAGATTGGAAATCAAAACCTTCATTAAGTTGTATAAACTGCAGTCTGGTTGATACTCTGAAGAAACTGTTTTCAAGGAATCCTAGACATGAACATGAAAAATAACTTTTGGAGCAAAAGTGGATAGACATACATGGGAGAAATTATGAGTATTTTCATACTCACGTAACATATTCACCAAAAACAGAAATGGAAAAAAAAACCCTATGAAATCAAAACCTTCATTAAGTTGTATAAACTGCAGTCTGGTTGATACTCTGAAGAAACTGTTTTCAAGGAATCCTGGATCTTAGCCTTGAACATGACTTTTGGAGCAAAAGTGGATAGACATACATGGGAGAAATTATGAGTATTTTCATACTCACGTAACATATTCACCAAAAACAGAAATGGAAAAAAAAACCCTATGCTTTCTCTGTTTTATATGTGTTTGATAACCCACACAGATCCCAGAATTAGAATATGCATTGGAGATAACACGATTTCATCTAAAATAAATTCTTCAGAGCAGTAAAACTGATCAGCAACCTTATTTACCACATACTTCTAGATTGTTTAGCAAACAGATGACTACAGAACAACAAAGTTCAAGTATTTTAAATTTCTACTTGAACAAATGTCTTATTATTTCAGACTTGCAAAACCTTGTCCCTTGATTTGCAAAAGTCCAAACCAAACAGTCTTCTCTTCCTCCGAGATAAGATACAAGATTGTAATGGCAAGTACTATCAAAATACAAAGCAAATTCTACTGTAAACACAACACATTCACAGTTGGAGGAATCAGTTATTCAAGAGACTGAAAACAAAAACCAGGTAATTTCAACATCATATCATGCTTTGGTAGACAACACAAATTCTTCTAACAAAAATCTGTTTTCCTTGCATGCCCAAGGTGAAAAGGTTCAAAACCTGGAAGTTCACTTTATAATTTCTATTGTGCTTGTAAACCAGTTCTAAGAAGTTCTAATATTAAAATTCTGTTTTCAGTGCCACAGTTGTCATACAATGTGAACAAATTTGGGCTGCTACACTTTCAACTAAGCTTTAAAAGTAACACCAGTGGTGAAAAAAGACTTGCATTGTACCTTTATCTGTGCCTCTAGCAGCTTCCAGGACCAAACGGAAAGGTACAAAGCTGGCTTAACCCTGTAACATTTAGTCACTGAAACATAAGCATGACCAAATCATGGCATATGCTGGTTTATTAGTGCTCATGCAGACAGAAATATGGAAAAATCATGTTTTCTCCTTAAATATACACATACAGTGTCTCTCTGTATAAAATGCACATAATGTACATATAAAAGAAAGAAAAAGTTATTGGAACATGATCTAATGGTTATAATCTTTCTCTTACAGGTGTCCATTCTTTCCTGACACCAGAAGTTCAGAAAACAGCCCAGTATACATGGCTTAAACCCGTATACTTATCTAATATGAACTGAAACACTACGAAGTGTTAAGATATCATCTTGCACAAACACTTAAATATTAATCTTTTCAAGATACCATAGGTAAGTCCTCACTTCCCACAGAATTTCATTTCGTCTGTTCAAAGCAAAGAAAGAAAAGAAGAGAGGTTCTAAATGGGAACGTGACTCATAAAAATAGTCACCACATATAACTGCACCTTAAAACCAAACCAACCACAACATCGTCCTCTTAAGATTGCTGTGTCTACCAAAGGGTAAGGAGAGAAGGAGCTGGCTTATGGGATCAGCTCAGAGCCAGCTGTGAGCATGGTAGAACCTTTAATGTCATCTGCTCTTCAGTAGGTATGTCGTTTTTACATCTAAGCGATACACAACTTCACACGGCTACCCAAGAGTAAAGATTAATTGAGATCCCCGTTAACAAAACATTTGCTGAATGATCAAACAGACATGTTTAAATCAGCCTAAAATTGTAGACTTCCAAGGCTGATAGCACCTCAAGGAAAACAGACAAGGTCCCATTTACACCATTGTCTGACATGGTGTTACAACTAAACACCCAGAGTTGCCTTTGGGCCCAACAACTGTCAGCTTAGGAGCAGTAACAGTGCTATCAGACCTTATATTAGAATGCTACTGCATACATGTTTAAGGTAAGAGAAGAAACTATCTTTAACATTTGGAATTTTGATTTAACACAATTAGACTAGCAGCCTCACGCAGGTTCGATAGATAGGTTTTATAATAGACACGAGATGAGGCCACAGTAGAGGAAATCCTCCCAAAATCTCAGCACCAAAAAAATCCCAAACTATATTAGAGAAGGGTAAGATCCTCGGGACACCCACCTTACTGCTTTGTAACTGTTCATGTAAAATAGCATGTCATGCTGTACATGACAACAACCAACTTCCAGAAACACCAGCAGAAAGCGTATCTGATGTACACAAAGCTTTAACTCAATGAAATACGTTTTTTTAAAAAAAGAAAGAAAAAGCAGAACATTTCCTGAACACAGGCTACAGGATGCTGTAATAGCCACGCTACTAAAATAGGTAATCCATATATTGTAAGAATTTTTCATCTCCAGTTAATCTGTAAAGGAAGCATGACTTGGTAGTTCTGAACCTAATATACTCCCCAAACACCACACTAGTGTATACGCTACTTTCTTATTCAAGCTAATATATTGGCCTTTAAACAAATCAAAACCTGCTTAAATGGAACAGTATTTGGGTCAGTAGCATCATCTTTTAAATAGTTCACAACTTTTTTTCACCATTTAACTCAGAGTGGGGAGTGGGGACAGGTAGACCACCAGGACACAAAAGCCCAAACCCCACAACCCAAAACAAAATCCACAAGACTTGGGATGCCAGCAAGGTAATACATCTTGGAGAGAAATCAATCCACGCAACAAGCTTTTTTAAAAGAAAAATGATTACGGTATCCTAGGGAGGGATGAGGGGAAGAGAGGTTACACAGGAGCATGTCTTCTCTGACCTGCATTGGGCATTTTATTCTTGCAAGGATACCAGTTTTATGAGGTCTGTCAGATGTAATATTGCTTTCTCCTTCATCACCTTGTAATTTTTAGGAAAACAGGCCTGAGACCTCTACCACTGTTCCAAGTCATCGACAGGCAACAAGTGACTGATACTCTTCAGTCTACAGGGCTCCAACCAACAGGACTGCCAGGCTAGCCCAGAGAGATTCACGATCCTGATTGACAATTTGATCTCTTAAAACACAAGGGACAGCAGCTGCATAATGGAGAGAATGTTAGTCTAGCTTTTAAGAAAAGCTTAAGCGTTTTCCTCGACATAAACCAACATTGTATGATTGTCGATCCTGGATATGAGGCAGCAGCACCAGTAACTCAATTGGTTGCATCGTGACACATTTACCAGCATCAAGTAGTCTTTTTCTCTTTCCCTCTAGCAAGGGAATTTTTAGACAGAACACAGAAACCATAAGAGAAAGAAAGGATGATAGTTGAGTGAAATTGATCTTACAGTACAGGAAAACAAAGGACAGATTGTTTCATTTTTTTAACCAGTGTTTTAAGTTTAGCTTTTTAGTCTGTGTTTAGAAATTTGAGGTCTGACTTCTGGAAAACACAGACAAGAAATACTGCTACATTCAGTGTAAAACTTTGAAAACAAGCCTCTCATTTAAGTATGTTCTTTGACAAAGTTAGGTACCAATGGAAAAAAACCAAACAGCTAAAGTGATCTTTAGTTCTTTTTTTTTTTCTTTCTCCAAAAGAATAGATTAAGATGACCTCAGCTAAGGCTAATAGGATAACTAAGTTGTCCACAAGTCCCCCAGTTCTCATTCTTTAGTTATTAGGTCATCCACTTTAGCAGAAAGAGTCCCATGCTTTTTAAAAGTGCGGACAAAAAGTTGCAAAGCCAAAGGTAAGAAGAATAGAAACTCAATCTTAATGTTCTGCCAGGAGAGGATGCCTTTTCTTACTTAGTACTCTGGTGTAAAACACTTTTTCCGACCTATTTTTTCTCTGAGAGCACCAAAGTTTCAAGCGTTCACCCAAAGTAACCACGTCGCTTTGAGGGTAGCGGTGGTGGAGCAGCTCCAGGGAGGCACAGTAGCATGCAAAACATTCCTGTTTGGGCTTCCTGGCAGCTCTGCCTGCTGCTGAAGTTTTGTTTGGCCAAAAGATGGAAGTTGTTGTTTGATGAAAACATTGCACCTTTTAAGTAGAAGCGAGGCACAGCAATCACTGCAGCCACTCTGACAAAAGCAGAGTGGAGAAAGAGTGAAAACTGTGCTCAAGGAACTAATATGTTTTTAATGCTTTTAACTAGTCTCATAAAGCTTTATAAAAAAAATAATTGAGAACAAAAGAAGATGAAACCAGATTGGCTGGGTAAACAAGTGAGCCTTGACCTAATACTGCAACCTGCCTCATCTTCTGTTATGTTAAAAAGGAAAAAAGAAGTCCCATTCTACTGCCTCTTATGGCATATAATAATATAATCTCTTAGTAAAAACAAAGACCTACTGACATTTCTAACAAATTCTAATTCCTGGCATTTCACGTGAGTAAAACCATCCTTTGGGAAACTAAGCTCCTTTGCAAGTTCATGAATTTCAAAGTAAAACTGGAGCTAACATCTTCATTTGCAATATGCAAAGGATAGGATCATATTTTAAAGCAGTACTTTTTCCTTTTTACAAATACAGTTTTGCTTATATAGTTTTGCTTATTTGCAGGAGCATGCAGAGAAGAAAGGCTTCAAAATTATAAACTATCCTAATTATAAAAGCTCTGCACCTTTTTGTATTGCAAGCCAGCCATAAAAATCACTCAGTTATTCCAAATAATATATACAAAAATACAACAAAGCCAGAGCAGTGAAATTTACTCTTGCAACAAAGCCAGTAAGAAACATGATATGAAAACATGCATTTATGAGACATACTAGACAGAAAGCGTGAGGTATTGTAGAGAAATGGAATGGGACACTTACACAGTGGCTCTCTCTCAGGGGGTCCTGATGGTTACTATGTTCTTAAACCATCTAGACAGAATAGCAGGCTGGGCAGAAGGGAGCCACATACAATCCACCAGATGACAATGCTACACAGTGTAGACACCAGCATAGCTAGGAGCCATCTAAAAAAGGGGTTGGAGGGGGAGGAAAAGATGAACAAAAATTCAAAAGCAAAAGCTACTGGTGCATTTTAGCTTGTTTCAAGTTCTTCAAAAGCATACTCCTCTATAACCTTTGCCAAGCATTTTCTTACTTTCTATGACTAACAATCCATGCAACCATAAATCGCCAAATGTAGTATCCACATGTTGCTGGAATCAAAGCAAATTTTCTGAAATCCTCACTGAAGTCGTCTATTCCAAAGAAAGTCTGTATCACTTTGTTAAAAATAAGTGCATGATGGACCAGTACATCTCTGACCACTTCCTGCCATCTCTTACGCAGTTTGATCAGCCTGTATTCATACATCCTACTTCACAATCATGTGTTTTAATACTAAAACATTAGATCAGAGCCAGATCAGTTTGCAGGAACAAACAATTTATGTAAACACCCAGAGGATGGGGTATATTACCTTCCTGTGGTCAAAGTAGCAAAAGCTAATTCATAATCCTTTGCCAAAGGTGCAGAATATTGCTAATTAGAACATATACAAAGTATCCATTCATCAAAGCATATAGAGTTTATACAACCAACTTCAATAAACATTAACAAATGTTATACACAAATCCCTTGCGACTTAAGTGTAAGCAATGCCTCTAGCTCTCAGAGACTGTAATTGTCCCAGATTCTGGTGCTCTTATTTTGCCTTTTTTTTTTTTCTCTTTTCTGTGAAATAAAACTACATAGAGGATTTAGAAGATTGTTTTTGTTTGCTTAGATAAAAAAAATCAATTTCACTGCAAGATTATTTATTTTTAGCAGTCTGAACTAAAAGGGAAAAAGACTGACACCTCTTCTAGTAGGGAAGACTTCTGACTCAGGTAGGGCAGCTAAATATTCCTAGCAATAGTTTGGTTTAATAACAGTAACATGAAGAACGTAAGAAGTTATACACTCATTTTTCACCAAATTATTTCAGTACAAGCTGCAACCCATACAAATAACTCGGGGGAACAGGAAGAGGGAAATTCCAACTCCCTGTGCCACAATGCACACTATAAAAAACAACTATAAGCTCTAGATTGATTATTTTAATTCTACAGAAGTACAAGCTAACTAGTTTTAATTAGAGCAGTCATGTTGCAGAATGCCTCATGAATGGAGTAGTATTTTAATAGTTGATAGGCTTTCTGCATATTAAGACAATGGCTCTGAATAGAATATCGTACAGTCTACGTTCATTCTATGGAACATACAATAAATGAGATCTTTCACAACCTTTATTACATGACTTAAAGTACCTTTCATAAAGTGGAAACTAAGGCACTATGTGCCTTAGAAACTAATGTGCAAGGTAGCTGTTTTTTACTGTGCTATTTGGGGTAACTGAGGTGATGTGTTTTCGGGTTTTTTTATTGTCAGTTGGGTGCAAGCTTTGTTCTGAATCTGTTGTTTCTTATATGATTGCCTGTGTAAATGATGAGCATGAACAAAAGAAAATCTTTTAAAACAAAAGCAGAATTCATACATAGCAATGTGTGAGGGTTTCCAAAGACATAGTCCTTTACCTTCAGCACATTCTTACTATATACCTCTCACTTTTTCTAAAAGTCTGATGGCACTGTTTGGCCTTAAAAAAAAAAAAGAAAAAAAAAGGCCAGCAGCTAGTAGCATCATCCTCTACAGAAACACAGCAGAACAAAAGCCAAGTTGCCTTTGGTCTGTGACTCTGGTGCTGTGTTATTTGCAAAATCTGACAGCCAGGGGTCACCATTCCTTTCCTAGCAATCAAATGAGATCCAGATACATCTTGCAAGTCTTACATTCTCTTGTAGTTTATTTAAGGGCGGACAGAAAGTTTTTCTACCGACAGCTGCTACAAGCTACAACAGATGGAAAGGTGACTACAAACTTTCTTTTACAGGTGGTGTTTCAGTACTTGTCTAAAACAAAGAGACTAGCATACCAGGTTCCCTGACAGAAATGCACTCCTTTTGAATTTATTTACTGAAATAGTGCTACTCCCTGCCTTCCAGACATACCAGCCATTGTCCCAAAGCCCACAGGATTTAGGGAAAGCTCCTCTCCAAGGAAGAGGAAAGGAAAGGAAGCTAAAGATTCTTCTTTCAACTCTTCTTAGGTAGCTGACTTTACTCGAAAAAACAGTGCGTACCTTATTTCAGCCAATCAAACACCACCACACAGAGTCATATTCTTCCATTTTTATACTACCACAGGAAAGACAAGGGAATGTTTGTGATTAAACTAAAAGTACAGCATTCAGAAATACTATGGGAGCTTGTAAAGTGCAGACTACTGGAATAAAAAACAATGCAGAAAACTAGAAACTGAGTAATGCAGTTCTTTAACCAAGTTCTCCTGCCTCCTTAGCTCTCACCAAGCCTTCAGAGAAACGGTGAATCTCATGCTTGTTTTAAATGAGTAAAAGCAGCCTTGGCAACAAATTCTGGGGGCAAAGGAAGTATGCATAAAGAAGAAGTTAAATGTATTTCTGGCATTTATACATTTAGAAACTGACTTACGTTAGCGGAGATGCAGTTGGAGCTTTTGCCTGCCTTCTACTTTTCAGAGCACGAAGCTTATCACCTTGTGTTACACAGTTTGTTTCATCCTCATCACTGTACTGGATAAGTGGAGGCGGGGAAGGCATAAACCGAGATTAAAATATAGACACTTAGACATTTAAGAATTAAAATTAAATGTAAAAGAATTATATCTTTAAGTTAGAACTATCCCAACAGGAAAGTTTGCCAGCATAAAATCAAAGGAGATTCACTTGCATAAATACAATTCTGTTCTTTGCAGTCTCCTGTTTGCTGCTTTTAAACCTGTAAACCATTAAGTGGTCTTATGAATTACATGCATCAGAATGTTGCCTACCTTTAAAACAGTGGAAACATATTATCAAATCTTTGCTTAGGTACAGTACAATCTTCACTCAGGTACAGTATTTCCCTCCTTCACTTGCCTTTTTAAAACAGCAGTGCAGTTTTTTTAAAAAGCAGCATCAAAAGGTATAATAGAAGTTGCAATTACTTAGAAACTAAAAAGAGCAAAAAACCTTTCATCCCTTCCCTTTAAACACAAACAATGAAGTAACAGACAATCCAAATCAAAATCAGTGTTTTTGATTGCAAATTGTGAGTACTTTTTTTGTTCTAATATTTACCTAATTACTAAAGTATAAGGATGCTCCTACTTCACTTGTGTACTGCACTTCATTTTTCATACTTGCTGTCCATAACATTTCTCCCCCCATATCCCTTGATACAAAAATGGCAAACAGAAAAATAATCTGATTAACATAGTTTTACTGTACCCACAGGTTTGTTCAGAGCCTGAGAGATTCTCAACAGCCATTACAACTTTTACAAGAGCACAATATTCGGATGGTTACCAGTTCAATGTCCTTTCGGATGGTTCTCCTGTTTCTCGTGTCATTTATTGAAATATCATCTACTCCTGACAGAATTCTTGTTACAGCAATTTTACGGCTTCCTTTCAACTTTGCACGGAAAATATCTCCTTCTGTCCAAAGTTCTGCCTGTTTGCTATCATAACATGGGAAAAAAAGCCCAAAACACAACAAATTAACACCAAAGATTATTAAGTGTACAATAAAAGAAGAAGAAAAAGACATCTAGATCTATTTTTGAAAACATTTATAGTCAATCTACTTACTCCATCAGGAAGTGTTGTTGTGGTCCAATAACTGAACCAGGTCTATTTATTCTAATCCAGGCAATAGTTTCAGCAGCTGTCATCCGATAATGCTTCATGATATAACAGGCAATAAGTGTGCCAGTTCGTCCAAGACCAGCTGTGTAAGATAAAATAATGGCTTCTTTTAGATACTCATCTTCATCTGGAGTCTGCTGTAGCTACAGACATTGTTACTTGGACAGATAGTTACTTGCCTAGTTTATTAAACAAAGCTGTAACTGATCAAACCTGATAAGTGCAACTCACCTTTTGAATTTTTTTTTCCATATACAAGGTTACTAACACACTGTTCACATGGGTTTTGAGTGAGGTAACCTTGCAAAGCCAGTGACTTTACAAATATCTGTAAGTCTGTCTATCTTTATTTACCTATTTATCTATGAATATGTTATATGGGTATGAGAATGTTTTTATGCATGGGATAAAACAGCTGTTTTTTTTCAAAAATTCTCAAAGCACCTTCTTGCAAATTGATCATACATTGCACTGAAATCAGTTGCTCTTCCAATCCCTCCTCTAACTAATCTCTTATAGTTCCCAAGGAAAAGACAAGTTTTGCAATAAGCAAGCCTGGTACTAGTCGACACAGCCAAAAAGTACTCCAGAATGAGGAACCTTCTTTGCAATGGCCCTCAAAACAGTTCTATTTACCTTGGGAAACACGAGAAGGAAAGGAGGACAGCTCCAGCTAAGTGGCTCCTCTCCTCGATCACTTGCTCTAAATGTCAAACTACACATCACCTTCTCTCATTTAACAAGCGACTGATCAACACTAGTGTAAAATCTTCAGTATAGCCCAATAGCCAAGACAACCACACGGCACTTCCCATGCCTTGCTCAGCTTTAAGAACAGGCTACAGCATTCTACTCTTTCTCAAGAGTAAGAGCAGGCTCAGGAACATAAGGTAGTCTAGACACCATTAGTATGATAAATATCAAAGAACATCTTAATTTGAATGAAAACAAAGCACTTGTACCACCGATACTCAATATTCAGGCGTAATCAATTAAGCGATATGCCTGAATTTATCACCTCAGCGGAGAGTAAGAGCATGCAACTTGCTTCGCAACAGTCAAGAAGGAATTTTTTACCAATCCTTCCACTTCACGGTATAATCCTGTTAAACATGCAGCAAATGGATGGCAGATCCAGGAACAAAAATGCAGCCTTTGCAGGTCCCAGGCAAATGGGTTAAGGAAAGGCCTTTCTCCTTCAATAACAGTATTATCAGGTACGCTAGTGAGGTGAAGTTTGTGCAGAACAAATATCTGACAGATGGTGTGGGAAGGGAAACATAGGTCCTCCAGAACCACAGAAAACTGTATCTTTACACTAGCTGCATTGGGCATGCTCTGAGTATCTTTTCCTTGGCAGCGTAACTCTGGAGGAACAGATATTCAGAGCATGCCCAATGTAGGTAGTATAAAGGGTTTCTGAGGGATAAAGATTTCTGTGGTTCTGGAAGAACACTCATACTTTATGAGGAATCTCCTCAAAAAGCTGCACTGATTATTTTCAAAAGTTTATGACTTGGTATATTTAACTGTGTATTTTCAGAAAGACCTATAAACCTTGCCAGGACTTCAAATTCCTGCTCAAAAGCATCCTTTGAAAGTGCTAACACTTGCTAGCAGAAAGAGCTGTTGATATTGCCAAGCTCACTTTCCCCAACCTCATTCTTGGAAACAGCTAGGAAGATTTGTCTGGAACTTAAAAAAATTAGAAGATGAAGTGCAGAACAGAAGCCTAGAAAGAATTTGTATGGAAAAGCTGCAGTTTGGCAGAGATGTTAATAACTACATATAACGGAATTACAGTGCAAAATACCTCAGGAACTGTTACTACAAGCATCACTTGTAATATAAATTGTTTTTACACTATACCTTTGCAATGAACGGCTATAACACCTTCAGCATTTTCACAAATATTTAGAAATGTTTTAACTATAGTATCACTAGGTGTGCTTCCATCAGCAAAGAAGAGGTCAAAATGCTCAAATCCAGCATCTGTAAATCGTTTGGCATCATAAAGCTTTTTGTTGAGGCGTATTATAGTGGTGACCTTATGTTTCCTGAAGTATGGGAAATAAGCCTCTGGAGCATGGTGGGGATAGCCTATTTGAAAAAAGAAGGGGGGGGGGCGGGGAAGAAGAGAGTAAGGCTCAAACTGCAGAAATAAACAAAGACTCAAAAACGAGAGATGAAAACACTTTCAAAATAGAACTCATGTTCAACATAAAGAAATAGACTAACCGAAAATGGAATTTTAACATAACCACCTAGGTCACATACAATTAAACCAAGCATTAAAATTTTACTGCCAGGGTTCTTATAAAAGAAAAGGAGCCAAGGAAAAAACACACTGTTTGAGGAACAATTTTTAAAGCTTGTTCTTACTGATAACAATCAACTAAGAAAGCAGTGGGCTTGTGTCCCCCACCTCCTTTTTTAAGCATACCATTTTCAATTTTACTTCTTGAATGAGGTCCACTGAAGGCAATGAATTTGTTTGGTATTATCCAGTTAAAATCTCCATTTTCTGCTCTCTGTCAAGAGAAAATGCTTGGTTTATCATTATCCCTGTATTTTCAGGCTTTTCCTTATTGTTTCAAAATACATGCTAGATAGAAGTGATGTACAATTTTTGCCAAAGGAAGTTATGTCAGTAGCCTGCTTTCTGTTCCATCGGGAGGATGCCAGGTGCACTCAACCTCACTTTCCTTGCCTGTGTTCTCCTCTTTCTAAATTAGAGTTTTAGAACAACACAACCGATGCCCTTCAGATGAAGGGCAACTTCCAATTTTTAATTTTTTATAGGTTTCTAAATTATGACCTTGGCCTTATCTCTGTTTACAATTTAAATAATCATTTTTTAGATTCTAAGAACACTTAATTTTCTCTTTACAGATAACTGGCAGCTTTGCATTTCTGAGACTGCATATAGTCAATAGTTGCAGTCCTTCATTGTCACATTGGTTTCCCATGCCCCAAAGTGAATTTTATAGGCTTGGAGTTTCCCACCCATTTCCTTCTTTACCTCAAAGAGTGTTATTCTACCTTTGCCATGTGTTCACAGATACATACTTTAATTGCTCTCCAGAATTCAGTTAGACTTGGACTTGTATGCCCTCGAGTTTCTCATCAAGACTGCTCAAGAATATGCATGACCTCTAAAAGGTGGCCAAATTCCCACTCCCCAGTCATCTTCCAGGGCTTTAATAATAATGGAAAAACGTATTCCATTTTGGTTTCTGCTTTTCCCCCCATGTTTGAGGCTGACTATGCTTAAATCTGAATTTTAATATTCTCTCTCTGACCAAACACCTTTATTTAACAATCGAAGTTTAAAGAGACAAAACAGAAATGGAACCTCATACTACAAAAAAAAAAAGCACATATTATAAACAATCATCTTAGCATTAGTGACAGCAAACAAATCAGAAGATTGATACTGAACACTTACTTCATAATGCTCATATTCATTTACATCAAATGTATTGAAATCCAGGAAACCATATAGCAAAGCCTAAAATTCAGAATACAGCTTTTAACAAAGAAAACATCTTTTCAATGAGGACCGTTTATCACTCTCTTAGGTTACTGAAAGCCCCTTAATACCTGTTCTACTCTTTCAGAGAGATTTCTTCATATATTTGAAAAAATACAGATCAACTGAGTCTTGGTTCAAAACAGATTTGTAAATTTTAATATAAGTGAAGTTAGACAAGCAAATCCACTCTTTTCTGTTTTCATCGAATCACTACAAAATTCCAGACTACAGAAGCATTCAGTCTTTTTATTACTGCTAGGAGTACAAAATAAAACAGAGAAAAATAACTGGCAAAAATTATCTATTGAAATTATAAGCACATTATAAAGTCTGCACTCAAGGATTGCAAATATTTTTGTGCATGAATGCTATTTGCTCTCATTACGATACTAATATCTTCATTGATTTTAAATTGTTTGCAGACACACAGTCCTAAGCAGACACTAGTGTCGTCCCTGATGTCCTGTAATTATCCACAACCATTATATTTAATACTGTATAAAAAATGTAAACATTTGGGTAACTGGCAGTTTACCCACTTGTTAAGTCAGGAAGCACAAACAAAGATAATCCCGTATCTCCAGATATTTAAAATACTACATTCTAATCTCCCCTTTCACTGCATAATCTTCTGTAGTTTTCCTTGCTGGAAAACTTCATACCTTTCCTTCACCAGTACTAAAAAGAATAGCAATTCACCACTCCTGGCTTACAAGCAGCCAATGCCAAAACATCCAAAAAAGCTGAAAATCACAAATCTGCAAGAAGCTGGCTTACTCAGTAAAAACACCAGTATTTGGCAGAGATACCTATAATACAAAAGACAGTAGTAGGCCAGAGAGCTGCAGAATTCCCCATTTCACTACTCATACAGGCTAAAAAGAATGCGTATCAATTCCCCTGTCCTTCAATGCCACGTTACTTCACTGCTGTATTGCTATAAAACAATAGATTATGATAATTTGTAGTTAAAAAAAAAAAGCACCTGCCTCCTAACATTGTCTATTTGTATTACTAAAGCAAAACTTGAAGTCATTAGCACATGCTGCAAATGCCTAGAAAGTATCACTAACCAATTCAAAATTACTTTCACAGGCTATATTCAGCCTAAAATGTAACACCAGGGGGGCATATAATAAACTTATCACACAATTGTTAGGGATTAGACGTGTGAATGACTGTCCTGAAAGATTACATAAATAAAACTCAAAATTCCCTCTTTAAAATCTTCACTAGTTGATTATAAGGTATCGGTTGACTTCTACGGATGCTGTATCTTGAAGTTTTGTTACAATGCGTAATACATAATAAGCTAGGCAACAATCGGAAAATCTGCTACTGCACAGCTCTAATTGGATCCTGGCTTCCTAAGCCACCTTCTTCTGCTGGGCAAAATTTAGCTGACTTTTTGCAATATGAAAAATACTGTTTTACTGACCTTGTTTATTGCATGAAAACAGTCCAGCAATGTCAGATGAAAACTGCAAGTACCAAAGGAAGCATCCCTATAAGATATAATGACCAAAACAGTAAAATTATCCCATTTTAATCCAAGTGAAAGCAATTGAAGATATTTCTCTAAAACACCTTTAAAAAATTGCTTCAAGATAATTACTATTATAGTGGAATAATTATGTCAAACGATTATTTCATTTCCCCTACCTTGCACTTTACAATAATAACAAAACATAAAGTAAGTTATGTTAACAGATGATCCAAGTGTAAGATTACTCCAGTCACAGTTTTGGTAAAGCTGACATGTTCAATTTCTGACATGAACATTGAAACTGGCATGTTTCAGTCTTCATGTCAACAAAGAACAGACAACACAAATTCCTTGTGGCAAAAGCTAATGCCTAAATTAGTATCATATTCTAACATACACTCTTAGAACATTTTCTTCTGACGTACACTTTCAAAAAAAGTCAAGTTTTAATACACTGCAAATTTTTTCTTCAAACTCAATTTAAAAAAGATGCTGCACCCATGCATTCTATGTATACATGAACAGCATCTTCTTACTAAAACTGTCAAGATACACATTTGTGTAGATATATTAAAAGACTTTCCTTAAGATGCATAAAATAGTTTATGCTTAAACATGAGGAGAAACTGGTTTTCATTAAAACCCCTTCTTTCAACTACAATGTTTTAAATTCTGTTGAGCCAAGAATGGCATGTTCTTAGTATGTGACCATTATTAGATTCCATAAGCACTGTAGAGTAAGCATTCTAGAGGAATACTATAGTCAAGTCAAAAAATAAATTTAAATTGAATCTGCATCAAAGAATACTATGCCTTGGCAGAACACCTTCTTTTGACACCGTGCAGCCCTCATCAGCAGAGAATCATTAATGTTTCAAAAAAGTAAATATTTATCATGTTCAAATTTCAACTGAGAGAGGAAGAACTTCTGAAGAACCTGGATGGATGGCTCTACAATTTGTTTGTATCCTTTTCCTCCCTAATGAATCAGTGTGAACGGTGGGGAAAAAAAAATCAGCAGGAGAAGGAAATAACAGAACCCCATTCAGGTAAAAGAGAGGTGAGGTAAAGGCGACACTGTAGTGGGTGTCTGTTAGACCACCTGACCAGGAAGAACAAGTGGATCAGGCCCTCTACAGACAGATAGGAACAGCCTCACATTCGCAGACCCTGGTCCTCACAGGGAACTTCAACCACTCCAGTATCTGTTCGAGGGACAACACAGAAGGACATAAGCAATCCAAGAGGTTCCTGCAAGGAACTGGTGACAACTTGCTCCTCCAAGAGATACAGAAGCCAATGAGGAACAGTGCTCTGCTGGACCTCATACTCACCAACAAGGGGGTGCTCACTGGGGATGTGAAAGTCAAAGGCAGCCTCAGATGCAGTGACTATGAGATGGTGGAGTTCAGGATCCTGAGGGCAGGGAGGAGGGTGAAAAGCAAGCTGACAACCCTGGACTTCAGGAGAGCAGACTTTGGCCTCTTCGAAGATCTGCTTCGAAGAGTCTCATGGGATAAGGCCCTGGAGGGAAGAGGGGCCCAAGAAAGCTGGTTAATATTCAAGGATCACCCTCTTCAAGCTTAAGAGCAGTTCATCCCAATGAATATGAAGCAGGCAAAAATGCCAGGAGGCCTGCGTGGATGAACAAGGAAATCCTGGACAAATACAAACACAAAAAGGAAGCATACAGAGAGTCGAAGCAAGGACAGGTAACCTGGGAGGAACATAGAGACATTGTCTGAGCATCCAGGGATGAAGTTAGGAAAGTTAAAGCCCAAATGGAATTGAATCTGGCCAGGGATGTCAAAGAAAACATGAAAGGCTTCTATAAGTACATAGGCGACAAAAGGAAGACTAGGGAAGATGTGGGCCCACTGCTCAATGAGACAGGGGACCTGGTTACACAGGACATGGAAAAGGCTGAGGTACCGAATGCCTTCTTTGCCTCAGTCTTTACTAGCAAGACCAGCCTTCAGGAATTCCAGGTCCCAGAAACCAGGGGGAAAGGCTGGAGTAAGGAAAATGTACTCTTGGTGGAAGAATATCAGATCAGGGAATACTTCTGCAAACGGGACATACCTAGGTCCATGGGCCATGATGGGATGCACCCATGAGTGCTGAGGGAGCTGGCTGGTGTCATTGCAAGGCCATTCTCAATAATCTCTGACCGATCATGGCAACTGGGAGAAATGCCTAAAGACTAGAGGAAAGCAAATGTCACCCTGAACTTGAAGAAGCGCAAGAAGGAATCCCCAGGAAACTACAGGTCAGTCAGTGTCATCTCAATCCCCAGAGAGGTGATGGAGCAGCTAATCCTGCAAACCATTTCCAGGCATACTAAGGACAAGAAAATTGTAAGGAGTAGTCAGCATGGATTCACCAAGGCAAAGTCACGCTTGAACAATTTGATAAACTTCTACAATGAAATGACTGGCCCAGTAGATGAGGGGACAGCAGTGGATATTGTCTACCTGAACTTCAGTAAGGCCTTTGACATTGTCTAGCTAAGATCCTCATAGACAAGCTAGTGATGTGTGGGCTGGTTGAGCAGACAGGTGGATTGAAATTGAAAACTGGCTGAATGGCCGGGCCCAAAGGGTGGTGGTCAGTGGCACAAAGCCTAGCTGGAAGCCAGGAACTAGCGGTGTACTCCAGGAGTCAATACTGCGTTTGATCCTGTTCAACTTCTTCATCAATGATCTGGATGAAGGGGCAGAGTTCCCTCAGCAAGTTTGCTGATGACACAAAACTGTGAGGAGTGGCTGATACGCCAGAGAGTCATGCTGCCATCCAGAAGAACCTTGACAGGCTGGAGAAATGGGCTGACAGAAGCCTCATAAAGTTCAACAAGAAGTGTAAAGTCCTGCACCTGGGGAGGAACAACCCCAGGCACCAGCACAGGCTGGCGGCTGCCAAGTTGGAGAACAACTTTGCAGAAAAGGACCTAGCGGTCCTGGTGGACTCCGTGCTGAACATGAGTCAGCAATGTGCCCTGCAACAAAGAAGGCTAATGGTATTCCGGACTGCATTAGACAAAGTATTGCCAGCAGATCAAGGGCGGTGATCCTTCCCCTCTCCTCAGCACTAGGGAGGCCACACCTGGAGTACTGTGCCCAGTTCTGGGCTCCTCAGTGCAAGAGAGATACGGACATACTGGAGAGAGTCTAGCAAAGGGCTGCAAAGATGATTAAGCTACTGGAGCATCTCATATAGAAGGAAAGGCTGAGAGAGCTGGGACTGTTCAGCCTGGAGAAGAGAAGGCTCATGGGAGACCTTATCAATGTATATAAATACCTGAAGGAAAGGTGCAAAGAAGACAGAGCCAGGCTCTTTTCAGTGGTGCTCAGTGACAGGACCAGAGACAATGGGCACAAACTGAAACACAGGAGGCTCCCTTTGAACGTCAGGAACCATTTTTTCACTCTGAGTGCGACTGAGCACTAGAACAGGTTGCTCTGAGAGGCTCTGGAGTCTCTATCCTTGGAGACATTCAAAAGCCATCTGGACGTGGTCCTGGGCAACTGGCTCCAGGTGGCCCTGCTTGAGCAGGGATGGTGGACCAGATGACCTCCAGAGGTCCCTTCCAATCTCACTGTGATTCTGTGATTCTATAAGTGAAACAAGAAATTCTTTGCATCATGCTAACAAAAGTTTTTGTGTTGATAATGACCCTAAGTAGCAACTACCTGACCGACTTTTTACTATTCTATGGGGAGGTACTGTTTTTGCAGAGATGAGGAAGATCTTAAAGGAACAGAGCCCAGACCAATATCTCAGCTGATCATTAACGTAATCTGAATTCCTCTATCTGCACCAGGTTTAGTTGCACTAGTAAACTCAAGAAAATGGTAAAGTCTGCAGACACTTCAGCAGGCGGTATTCTTTATCCCAGAGGCTGGACATGTCTTCAGAAGTCAGCTCTCAGTAAGTCTTATTATATAACACATCTTCGCATTTCTTTCAGTAGTGCTGTTGAAGTGATGGTCTGGGAATTTGGGCAGAGTATATGACCCGAGTGAAAAGCTACTATCTCCATCACCGACATACACTTTTATGATATTTAGAAACAAACCCTACAGTCTTCCTAAGGACAACTTTTGTTCTTCTGGGAGTATAAAAATGGAATTTAAAAGTGAGAAATGCGATGATGGAAGTATGCAAATGAAGAGAGGTGCTACTACACCATTATACTGTGGTGGTGGCAGGGGGGAAGCAATAGAAATTCAGATCATCACACAAACAAGCACAGACTGAATTAATCACCCCATAACAATATATTTGGACAGCAAACTTGCCTCCTAAAAAGTTTTTTCTGCATATTGTGGCAGCCAATGGAATGTTAGTTTAGTCCAACTTTTAGAAACTCGTTTGGAAGAAATTAAGAAATTGTTCCTCTGCACGACTGATCGACTTTATTTGCTACATTAAGCAGCACAGCATATATCACTAAGAGAAGTCTGTGGTCTGAAACAACTAGGATTACATTCCCCCAGGGTCAGGCAACCATGAACCAATGGTTTTACACATTTCCTCATTGGTAAAAAGAAATACTTAAAAGTTACACTAAATCATATGAGGTTAGCTAGCATTTTTTATGCACAAAACAGTGTTTGCGGGTTGCTGCATACATCCGACAAGTGGGAAAAATGGAGTGCTAAAAGTATTACAAGCTGTTTGTGATGAATGACAGGTATTTTGATACATATCAAACTGGCACAAAACCAGACTGCCAAGTGAGAAGCAATGTAGATCAAAAAGCTCAACAAGAGTGCATGCAAAGCAGCGTGGCTCCTTTACCTTCTGTCAGTACCCTTCAGTACCAGCTGCTAACACCACTGTTCAGCAGTCTGCACTTAAAGCTCAGGCAGTGAATGTGTCACGTGTTAAAACTTCAGCAAAAAAACCCCCCAAATTAGTACTGATATACTGATACTACATCCTTCTTCAAAATATCAAGGTACAGAAAGTTCTAACAACTTGTTATTTACCTGAAAGGAAGATACGAAACGCTTCCAGCCAATATAAGCCTGTACACATCTTCTGGGGATTCTCTCAGGTATATTATCTATTTTTGTGGAAAAAGACAGAAAAGAAAATAAAAATATTGAGATTAATATTAGCAACTTCAAGTCACTTGTTTACTACAGAAGGCATAATTTATCACAGAGCTCAAAAGCGCTGGGAAAGAGAGGCATCAAGAACAAATGTATGCAAACATGCAACAATAAAACTAACAAACTATAAAATACTGGTCAACCTAGAGGAATATATATTTTTAAACAAAATTTATAGATTTGTGCAGGAGTTGTTCAACTATAGGCTACAGTGAAAAAGCTTCTGTCCGTCTGGATTCTTCCATGTTTCTACTGCAACTCGGCTGGACCAGTTTGTAGATTTTTTTTTTTTTTTTTAATTATGTTTCAAGATGTAAATCGAAACACAAAAACCCAGAGAGATCTCAGCAAAGCTATGAATCATCTGGTCTACAAAACAGTGTGTACACTCAGCAGACAAGATTAAAACCGTAATTCATGTATGTTTTGATTTTCCTACAGCAGTACACTTGCATTATTCCAAATCCTGTACTTCCTCCTTTGCATGGGTGAGGCAGTATCTAGTAACTAAATCCAGATGCCATAAAGGAAAAAAAAAAAAAAAAAAAGAAATCTGAGAAATCTGTAGCTTCAGACGCAAAAGCCTAAGAACAGAATGAAGTAACATACTTGAAGCACTACGTATCAAACTTTCTACTGTCAAAAACACTCAGAAAAGAATTCACAAAGGACCAACTCACGACAAATATCCATACGGTCTTCCATCACGACATGCCTGATCCCTCTTGGATAGCCTCTAACACTAAGGTCTCCTTAAAGAATACCGTGAAACTCCTCTTTTATGCAAATCATGTCTTCCAATACCATCAAACATCATCCCCAGCATGATCAGGAGATAACAACTGTTAATAACAAGCTGTCATTAACAGGTCAATAGTAATTTCAAGTTAATACTTTGTCGTTAAAACTGCATTAACTAAGCTTTAACACACTACAGAAAGTTATTTTTTTCATTAACGTTCAGTAAAATTATTTACATCTTTTATATTAATGACCATTTTCCTTAGAGGTTTTTTGAAAGTAAGAATCCTAATGAGTATTAATTAAACATCCCTCAAAAATCTAAGTGTGGCATTTTTGCTTCCTGTTGCTTCTGACATTTTTTTCTTTTAAAAATTGGCATTGCCTTTCAATTTTCTTTGATGCTGCTGCAAAGCCAGCTTGAACAAATGGCTTAACATACCTTCAACATCCTCTCTCCACACACACGCGCGCGCATTCTCGTGAGGTGAGAACGGGAGGTGGAACAGATGTTGCTAAAAAAACAAACCCAGCTTGAAACATACCCTAAACAGGCAGCTAAAACATACATGGCAACAGGCAACCCCTTTCATTTTTCCTCTGATTCGATCACTGTGTTAAGTATTTTCTGAGCATTCTTCCTGTGCAATTAGCAAAACCAAAGAAAAAAAAATCTGTCTTGTTTAAGTAGTTTAGTTAAGTAATGAAAAGTGCATGTTTTTTATGTGTGTGTGCTTTCACTGGGGAGGTGTAAGTGACTTCTGCATTTACATTTGCAAGCATACACCCGGAATAGAAGAGAAACTTAAAAAGCCCCCAAAATATCATTGAGTATCTGCTCTTCAGATGCCAGAGTTCACTTTCTATTCTGCAGGCATATTAATTGCCTGAACTGGAAATAAAAGTTATGTTCCAAGAAATTCCAAGTTGTGTGCTTTGATACAGTCATACTTTGCATCTTGCAGCACAGTGAACACATATTGCTAGCAACCATATAAATCTAGCACTGCTTGCTTGTAAGAAAAAGAGCCCTGCCCCAGAAAAACTTACAAACCAGAGACATGAAATGGCATTAGCAAACAGAAGGTAATTAAACAGCAGAAACAGAGTTTATAGCCAGAAATGAGTCACCTGGAAAAAACTTGGGATTCAGTGCTGTAAGGCTGGGTAATATACAGAGAGTACTACTTGTACAACAGGCAAATAGAAATGCAGCTAATACTAGCTAATCCTGTAAGCGCATGTAGCTCAGAAAGGCCAAGGATTTCTCCCGTATCTCAGCTGAGCTTTTACCAGCTTCTTAAAGGAAACAAGCTTCAATACAGAAGCATTTGTTTGCAAGTGTAACAGCTGCAAGAGGCAAGTTTTTTCCATAATGTTAAGTGTTGTATTAAAATAAGTCTAACGTTACAGTATACTAAAACATGTTAGTTCTTAAGCACAGATACAACTGCTGAAATTATATTACCAGGGAAGTTGCTAGAAACACCATTTTAACATACATGCACATGTGTATGGACTTCCCTTAACATACAAGGACACTTAAAAAAGCCAACCTGATTTTGACACAAAAATCCAATGTCTACCATCGTTTAGTATGTACAAAAAGCGCACTGCAAGAAGATGGTGTTTTTCAATGTGGACAAGCTACTGAGCAAAAATACGCAGTACTTCCTGTACAACTGAAGCAATATACAGTATATTCACTGAAGAAGGAAGCTCTTTGAGTTGTATTTCTCAGAAATTTCTGAAATAAAGAGAGATCCTGCTACACTTCAGCTGTGACACTACTACACACACAAGATACGACATGTGAACAGCTGCAGAGACAGCAGTTGATGAAATGATCAGATAGTGTTCTCAGTGAAAAGTGGATTACAAAAAAATATTAGGTTAGTATGAGGATATCTGGACAGGTGCAATGGTGTGGAGTGCTTCAAAAGGGAAGAATGGCATTCAGTCTCTACACAGAACGGGAAAGACCATAAACAGATACTTAAATCACAAGGAAAGTATCCTGGCAGTAACAAGAAGCTGTGACAGTCAAAATGGAGACAGGATCAGTTTCTGTCACAGCTTAAGACCATAAGAGAGCACGCAGCTGGAAATCTTGGATGCAAGCAGGGCTGGATGGAGGTTGAACATGGGTGAGCCTGGGTTCAGGTTGTGGGTGAACCAAATTCCAGATATGGAAACAGGTAAGACTGAAGGAGTGAGGGAAGGAACAGCAAAGCCCAGGGAAGCAACAGACATCAAGGCAGCAGAGGCCACATCTGCATTAGGAAGTAGTGTGCACCAGCAGAAATGCATCTGTAGACTGAGAGCCAGCACTGAAGATCTGACATCTGCACTATACACTTCCAGCAGCTTTTAACCTTAACAGCTAGTCCTAGTCTGGTCCTGTGGACTGAACACCCATCACCTGTTGGGATTGCTCCTAGACTGCTCCATGAAGTGAACCAAAATGCAGTGAGCAGGGTTTAAGGAAAGATTCACTTCAAAAACATACTCCTGACACAAACTGAAACTGTAATACAGTTATATACATATAAAACTACATAATACTGTTTCTGACCAGGAGGAGGCCACTAAAGCCTTAAAGATGAACAATTTCATTGGAATGATGTGGGTGAACAAAGGACTAAAGAAAGCCAGTAAATGAGAGAAAGTAAAAGTGATCAGAGAGACCTGTAGTAGTCAGAAGTGTTGAAAAAGAGGACTTTCTAAGGCAGTAAGCAGAACTGAAGTTTCAGAAAACAAGAGAATGGAAACATTGATCTGATGAATAGCAAACCAAAGACATATTTGTAAATTCATGAGGTATGTACTGGGGGAAGGAGAGGAAATGGGAAAAGACGTTAACCCCCCGAAATCAAAATATACAACAGCTGAAACCAGTTTGTCCAGATGCTGATTATAAGCTATGTTTCTGCTGTGCTTTCTAAGATGACAGAAACTTTCACAAACAAAAGTTGTTTTCTTAAGTTAATGCCAATAAAGCAACCAACAAGAAGTACTATTAAAAAGATAAAAATATTAAAATAAATTTCAAGCAATGATACTAACTGTTATTTAGCAGAAGCAGGCATTTTGGGGTAGTTTACCAGTTTGTCCAGATGCTGATTATAAGCTATGTTTCTGCTGTGCTTTCTAAGATGACAGAAACTTTCACAAACAAAAGTTGTTTTCTTAAGTTAATGCCAATAAAGCAACCAACAAGAAGTACTATTAAAAAGATAAAAATATTAAAATAAATTTCAAGCAATGATACTAACTGTTATTTAGCAGAAGCAGGCATTTTCTGGGGTAGTTTTTGTCCATTCTTGTATATACAAATGGAGAAAAGTCTATTAGAATTTTACACTGATTGCCCAAGGGGCTCCCTTTCTGCAGGTCAGGCAAATATGAAAAAAAAAAAAAAAAGCAGCTTTTTAAAAAAGACTTAGAAAATTCAGCAGACCTGAAATATATCATCCACAAGTACAGTTGCCTTGGTTTTAGAATTTTCCTACAATCATGAGCAAGAGCAGATGGGTGTACATACACATCTACATACACACACACACAAATACACACGGAAAAACTCTTAAAATCCTTTACAAATCTTTTACTTAAGTACCTTCCAGGAAAATTGTTACTGTAAGGAACTGACATCTTTCAAGCCAAAATAACATACCATTTTACCACACTGTGCAATCACTTGTGTACCAACAATTTAGAAATTTGCTTTCTTTATGCATACAAAAAAAATACCCTACTGAACTTCAAAATACAGCCAGGAATTTGCGATTAGCAGTTGAACCATTAACATTGCTCTAATCATCCTTTTCATTTAGGACATCTGTTTCTAATTAAGGGACTGCAGGCAGCTCTGTGAATGGTCAAGAACCATCCAAGTGTTGAGTACTGGGAAAGGTGCACTCAAGCACTGCTCCTGCCAACATCGCTGTGTAGTCAAACAGCCGCTATAATGTTCACTGAATGAAACAGAAAGGCTTGCAGGACTAGGCGATCCAGTCTTTATTTATGAGCATTTAAAATCAACCATAGATTGCAAGTTCTTTTAGCAAGCCATGTTATTTTCTGATTCATATTAGTGTTTTCAAACCAGCCCTATTTTTTAAACAAAGGTTTCCTAGATTAGCATTACAATCATGAAAACAGTATTCACAATAGGATCAAAAGTATTCCTGGTAGAAAAGGAAAGGAG